CTTTTCCTTGCCATGCTAATCTTCAGCATGCAAACAACATGTAACCTTTTGCTATAAGGCCAGTCTCTAGACAGTTCAGAGACATGTTTGCCCTTTTGTCTTCTATTTGTTGGTTTCCACTTTCACAAGTAATTTGTTTCAAAGAATTCAACAATGAATGCTGTTTTAATCAAGGTCAAGTAAGAATGCAGGTCACATTCTTAGTGTTCTGCCTGGGTGTGTATACAAGAGAAGAGAACAAGAGGCAGTTTGTATTTTTCCAGAAGAAGGGATTTTCATAGCTGACTGGGGGAGGCAGCTGTTGTGGCTTTTACATGCTGTGAATATTTTAGGACATGTGTGTATGACTCCTATTTCATCTTGATTTATCTTTCCTTTTTTCAGCATTTTCCCTTAATGAAAGTACTGTTGAAGAAGAATAGGTACAGTATATTCTAGATGGGGGGGGAAGGAGGAGGGTATAAGTACAAGGGCTTCTCTGCTGATGACTGTGGGGGTCCACATGACCCCAGTTCATTACAACATTTCATGACCCTGGGATGCCTCCTCCAGAGTTATCTGTATTAAATCTCTTTGATATTTGATAGCCTCATAGTCTTCTCCATGTGCCTGACTTTTGCTCCCTCAAAAAAGAAAATCTTTGTAGTCTTTTAAGTTTATGTTTGCCAATGAATTGCTTTGCTACACAGTACACCTTTTGAAGACAAAATTGTCTAAACCATCAGGCATCCAGCCAGGGTCCCCTACAAACACACTTCTTTCCCTTGCAGATGGTCTTAAGTTCTGAAATTTCACTGAATAACAACAGTATGCATATTATTAACTTCAGCTGGATTTACAAAGAAAAATGCAAATGCAGAGTTAGAAAACTAGATAAACAGGTATTAAAATAATTATGGCAAGGAAAGGCAGCAATTTATTAGATAAACTCAAATAGCTGTGCACTTAAAGACTGAGCTTTAGATATTAAATGTGCTCTTTGCTTTTAATGAAAAACAGTATCAGTGCAAATAACAGCAGACAAAGAGGCTGACAATTTGTAATTAGCAGGACAGCAGCAATGGGAAATAAAATTTTAATCATGAAAATTCATCATTTAAATCTACTATTCGCAACTAGAAAAACTTTTATTTTCTCATGGTAAGTAATAAGTTTTAGAAGTGCATTTTTATTTACATTACATTACAAAATAATTACTCCCACTTGCTACTGATTAAATTCCACAATGACTGCTCTTTGTATTAAGACATATGCTTGTAAAAGAAGCACTGAATGTCATGTCTTTTTTTTCACCTTCTTTGTCATTATTCATTTTTCCTATACTTTTCTTAACCTTTAGTATCTTCCATTACTATCTCTACTCTGTGTCAATTATTGAATCTAGGTACTATCATGGCTTGTGCGCCCACTTCATATTAGGCTCCATAATTCCAGCAGGAAACTATGGACACTTGAGATTCATACACTGTAAGAAACTAACTTTTAACTAAACAAACTTTTTGTTCATATTAAGTATCATCCCAGAACATGTTATAGCCGGTATAGCCAGCTGGTGCCATCGCTGGTTATTGGGGGCGAATCATTGGCCCCCATGGAAAGGGCCCGCAACTTGGGCGTCCTCCTGGACGCACGGCTATCTTTAGAAGAGCATATGACGGCCGTGGCCAGGGGGGCTTTCTATCAGGTTCGCCTGATACACAAGTTGCGCCCCTTTCTGGATCGGGACTCCCTACGCACGGTCACTCAAGCACTCACTTCTCATCTGGACTATTGTAACACTCTCTACATGGGGCTCCCCTTGGGGTGCACCCGGAGGCTCCAACTGTTGCAGAATGCGGCCGCGTGGGGGATTATGGGAGCGACGGGGCGCTCCCATGTGACTCCTCTCCTGTGCGAGCTGCATTGGCTTCCGGGTGCGCTTCAAGGTGTTGGTGATCACCTTTAAAGCGCTCCATGGCTTAGGGCCGGGGTACTTACGGGACCGCCTTCTGCCACCAATTGCCTCCCACCGGCCAGTTCGCTCCCACAGAGAGGGCCTTCTCAGGGTGCCGTCGGCCAGACAATGTTGGCTGGCGACCCCCAGGGGGAGAGCCTTCTCTGTGGTGGCACCTACCCTCTGGAACAATCTACCCCCAGAGATACGAATGATCCCAGACCTCCGGACTTTTTGTCGGGCCCTTAAAACCTACTTTTTTCAGTTAGCTGGGCTTTCCTGATTTTATGGTTGGTTTTAAAATTTGATATTGATTTTAATTGAAATGTTTTAAATTATGGGCCAAATTTTATTTAATTATTTTAAATCTATTTTAACTTTTGTGTACAAATGTTTTATATTTGGCTGTTCACCGCCCTGAGTCCGGAAGGAGAAGGGTGGTATAGAAATCTGAAAAATAAATAAATAAATAAAAAATGTTATGCTTTCTTATTCCAAAAATGTACATCAATGCAGTCTTTTCTCTAAATGGTTAATAGATGTTTCTAATAGGTTGTACCCAGCGGTGAAATCCAGCCAGATCTATCCGGCTCGTGCGAACCTGTAGGGCCGGCGGCGGGAGACTCCGCCCATCCACCGGGGTGTCATTATGTCCCAATTTTGACCCTCTGCACATGTGCAGAAGAGGCGTGCGCTCACATTTCTGAACTGGTAGCGAAGGTAAGTGCATTTCACCTCTGGATGTACCCACTGCCCAATCCTACATATGATCGTTCAGTAGTTACCATTATGTTGAAAGATGTCATTCTCAGGTTTTTCTTATTAGATTTAATATCCAGCCTTTCATTCAGGTGCTCAGAGAAGTGGGAATAATGCTCCTTCCTCCTGTTATTCCCTTCGGTAACACCTGTATGTGGTGTATTGTGTACAAGAGGGTGACTCATCTAAAATCATCCAGTAAAACTTTCATAGTTGAGAATGGATTAGAACCTGGGTCTTCTCACTCTTAATCCCTGACTGAATTTAGAACCAAATACCGTGTTTCCCCGAAAATAAGACCCTGTCTTATATTTTTTTGAACCCTGAAATAAGAGCTTGGCTTTATTGCCATCTGCTCAAAAGCCCGATTGGGCTTATTATCAGAGGATGTCTTATTTTGGGGGAAACAGGGTAATATGTTATACTAAATCTAGAGCATATAAGCAGTTTTGCCTCCTTTGTTTTCTTTGTTAAGTAGAGAGAGGTCAGAATCAGAACCATGTCACTGGGAAAGAGACTTCTGTGGATCTGCTGGGATCTACATCCCAATTGTGCCCACATATGTTGTACAATTGCTATTTAGAATATGCATTAAAAAATAAAAGATTTGTTCCTTATGTATTTAAAATAAGTTGTTGTTTGGCCTCTAGATCTGTCTCCTCAGGATCTCTATGAACTGATATTTATTGTAGTTTGTTCTCCATTTTCTCCCTTCCAGATTGATCTTTGACGTAATAAGAGACCTTCATTTCTTAGTTTATGCCTATCATATAAAACTTATAAGTGCACTTCTGTAGATGAAAAATCTACAGCAAAATGATATGTGAATTTTCTTGGAAAAGAGTAGTATTATTGTATGTTTGGATACTGTTCCAAAATATTAATATAATTTTGGATATTTTATGAACTCTTTATTTACATCTCTCTGTTGTGAAATCAACAGAATTATTTAATCTCAATAAATCAAATCAGCTAAAAACTAAACAGGACCAAAATCATATGATGCATTTTATATGAAAGATACATTTGATTCCTTCTTTAACTGTATCTAATGTAGCAAAAATTGATAAAATATTTTTGAAAAATAAAAAAGGATATGACTTGGATTTAGGCCCCTCCCACATAGAAGGGCTGTACCTGTATTAATCAATACTACAGCCATGTCCTCATAGCAGCATTGGGGCACTTGCAGGACTTCCCAAATTGAGCTGCTGCATCAGAAGAAATACTACAAAGTTGCAAAACTTTGCATTCAAAAAGTGGAACCAATGATTTCCACTGATAGGAACTTCTCCCAGCAATTGCTCAAAGTTTCCCCTTCCCTCCTGAAATCAAGGTGCCATTATAACACCACAGTTTTCTCATTATTCCCAATCAATCTTAGGGAAAATTTGGTCATTTTTTAACACACTGGACATTTTTCCTCTGTCACACAAGTAAATGCAGACCAATAAAAATCAAGTTGGAAGTTGGAGAGGGCTGGAGAGGGTGCTGTTGTTTTGTGCTCCCCACTGAGTTGGAACAAACAGTGGACTTCACAAAGAGTTTTGAGCACTAGTAGGATTGACATGAGTGCAATTGTGAGGACTTAGATGATGAAATAAAGCTTGTGTGCAAAATGTCTGAACTACCAATGAGGACATCCTTGAATATAATCTTGTTTTTGCCAGGAGAGGGCTTCAGCAGGAAGATGGCCAGTATCTCAGTATATTTTCTCATATATATATTTTACCTACCTTAGAAAGGATGGAAGGCTGAGTAAACCTTGAGCCTTGGCGAGATTCGAACCTGCAATAATTGCAGGCAGCTGGTCTTAATAACCAACTTAATAACAGGATGCCTTAGACCACTATACTACCAAGGCTCTTTCCATTATAATAGTAAATTAAGATCTAGATCAGGGGTGTCAAACTCAATTTCATTGAGGGCCGCATCACAGCTGTGGTTGACCTTGGGGGGGCTGGCTGGGCATGGCCGACTGAGCGGACGTGGCTGACTGGGTGGGCATGGCCAGCTTGATGCCACTCCCCAAACTGCTGACATGTTTCCTCTTCGCATTGGGTAGACCAGGCCGAAACTACGTTGGTCTGATCTTTCCTCTTCATATTGGGTAGAACAGGATGGCTCTGCAGGCCGGATCCGACCACATCGCGAGCCGCATTTGGCCCGTGAGCCTTGAGTTTGACACCCCTGATCTAGATATTTATCATAATTGTATTTTTTTATTGCAGTTTATTTCTTTTTAGTCATGATATTGTCTCCTCCACTCTTTTAGTATTACAAAAAAAAAAAAAAAATCAGAAATTTCTGGGGAAGCATATTTGAAAGATTTAGCAAAAAAATTATAGTTCAAGCAACATGACGAAGGAAATTTGTTAGTTTCCCATCTTGATTGAAAATCTACACTCAATTACTGTATTTTGTTTTGAAAGATTCATCTGAAGAAAAAGATTCATCTGAAGACTTGTTCCTTTGCAGGGCTCTGTATAACACTGCTTATTCTGAAAGGGAAAGTGTAATTGGTCTATGTTGTGTATATGAATAAAAATGAGTTTACATAGAGAAATGTACTAAATATACAGCTCCCACACACACCCATTATCTTTCTATATAAAACATTCAGATTTAGCCTCTTTCACCACTGACTGTGCTCTCCCATACTGTCTCACAAAAAGCTTTGTAAGCAAACAAACATTAGTTTTTTCTATAGCTCTTTTAAAAAAACATTAAAAGCCTGGATAGAATGAGATTCATGTTGACTCTTCACATTCCTAATCTCAATATTGATATTTCTGTCATATTGCAGGTATTTTTTATGCTTTTATGAAGATTTGTTTTAACGATGGTATCATACACTGGGATCTACTGAAACAGAAGTAAGTTTTAAAAATCACCCAGGTCAATAACTCACAAATAAAACCAATTTTCTTTTCTTCTCTGTTATGCCCAACAGGAACAGCTGTTCCCTCTATACCAATGATGGCTAGCCTTTTCTGAACCGAGTGCCCAAAGTTCTGGCGCGCAAACCCCCAGGATGCAATGTGCACATGGCCCCCCTGCATGGGCCCTATCCCCTGCATGCGCACGCCCCCTGCATGCACCCCAACCTCCGTGAATGCACACACGCCCCGCATGTGCCCCACCCCTGTACATGTATGCGCCCCCGCCATGCCCCCGCACGAGTGCCCCTCGCACACACCATGCCCCCTGCATATGTGTGCCCCCCACATGCTCCCTGCCCCTACACATGTGTGGCAGAGACCCAAAGACCAGCGGGAGGCGCACGCACATGTGCAGCAAAACTGAACTGGGGCAACAACTTGCGTGCCATCAGAGAGGGCATTGCGTGCCACCTCTGGCACATATGCCACAGGTTCGCCATCACGGCTCTATATCATAATACATTTCATTTCAGCATTTCTTTCACCTGTGCAGTTATGTCAAGTCTCTCTGAGAAATGAGACTCGAGGGCGGGTCCCACTTTTTCATGAGGAGTCTGGAGAGATGTTATAGTAGCCACAAAGTGGCCACTGAGAATGACCTTGCTGCCAAGGCAACTGATTCCATTCCAGCCCTGTAATTTTTCTTCTAGTTGCTATGTTAAAAGTCTCACTTGGAATGAAGATTTTCAATATGATAGCTGATCTTTGCAGAGTAACTGTTTCTAAATGTTGTTGACTGGGCAGAGATCCGTTGCTATGGGGAACTGTTTCCGCAGTGTCACCATGGTGACAAAATGAGTGTTCTAGCCACCTCCCATAGGATTAATAGTTCACTCTGAGTAAATTTTTATACAGCTAGATCTGGAAAACAAGAGAGGAAATGATATCCATGAATCAACTTAAGGCAACAAAGTGATGCTGATGTAATAGACAATAAAATGATTATTAGGTGTTAGGTATTTTCATAGAGAGAGCTGGCAGCCTGAATCGAAAGACCTTATGCAGGTCTCCTGTCTTTTCCTCCTCAGTAAATTATTTTGTGGGAAATAAAAGAGACAGAGCACAAGAGAATGCAAAGGAAATCAATTGTGTCTGGATCTCTCCTTCCACCCTGTACAATTTTATAAACAATGTGCACTATTGCACAGTAAACATTTCCTATGAAAGACTTCTAATCTCAATTTCACAATGAAGTTCAGGGTACAAACATGAACTTGTCACAGTATCTCTTTTTAGGTACATCACAGAAATGTGAAGAAGAAAAAATTAGATAAAGTGAAATGAAATAAAATTGTGAAAACAGAATGCAGTAATCTGCCCATAATCTTACTATATTTATATGAAAGAAATAAGTCACTTCTCTTGCTTATTTATCTTTAAAATGAGAAGGTGATCTTAGGTTCACTGAGAATAAAGGAATGAAGGAAGGGAAGATTTGATCTAACTTTTGTATGTGGAAGGATCAGGATGTCTTCAACTCTGAGCCAGTTTCCTTTCAGGTAAATAATGTAGCTCAGTGGAGATAAAGTAGGACATTTATGTCAAATACATTAGAAGAACAAATGTGAATATTTACAGCAACAACTGGTAAGTAATATCTACTGTAGGTTAATAATGGCTTGAAAGTCCTACACATATTGCCTTGCTTCAAAATTATTTGGGTTTTCAATTTTTCAGAGCAAAGCAGCATATAGGGCAAATCAGATTTCTGGGGGGTTATACAATTGTTTTTCAGCAAGAGCTTCCTGGTTTGTAACATATCCAACACACCTTTTAAAAAACCTTTTGTTTTTTATTTGTACAAATACATTTTCTTATTTTCTTCATTCATTGATCTAATCTATTGATATGTGCAAATGCTTGTAATATTTGCATAACCATATTCAAGATAAGAATGAAATAACTAGCTCAAAAGTGCTGTTTCTTGTGGAATATATAATATAGTAAAACTGATCAAAGGATTATTTGGAGAAAGAGATATATATTAAATTGGAATGGCCATTAGACTTGGTATCCTCTATATAGTATACATTGATTCAAATTATATAATTGTCACAAATGATGCAAAAATGTCAATTACATAATTACACATATGACATAAATTGAGCAAGTGATATAACAGGACACTTCTCTGTATTTCAGGTATGGAGTATGAATGCAGATTTGATCTGTGACATCTGAAGTCCAGTGAATGGAGGTGAAGAGAATCGAAATGTTATTATATTACTAAATTAGTTGGCTGACAACAAAGTATACTATCAATATATTTTTGAGTCTGAGCTACCCTTCATGTAGGAATAGAGCAGAGAGTAGCTTCAAGAAGGCTAACATTGGGAAAAAATCTGCCCTACGTGGACTACTAGGTACCAATTTTTCAACAGTCCTCTAACACCCATTCTTGAAGAACAAGGAGTATTATCATTAATTATTCAGTATCTTCCCCTATTGAGCTAGCTATGCATTATAGTTCATTCTCCCAGAAGTAGAGCACCATTAAGAGGAAATAAGAGCATACAATGTTTGTAGAAACCTGAGTCATTTTGAATAATAAGATATACAGAGTTTCTGCCACAGCAGATTTTACAATATTGAACAAAAATAAACTACACGAATTAGGGATAACAATATTTAGATTCATACTAAATAGATGTTGACTCAGAAAAAATTAATATAAATCTCAATTTATCCCATCCATGGTTAGAAGTAATTACAGTGTAGCGCATTTCCATACCACCAGCATTTTCCATTCCCAAATAAATGTTTTCTGGAACTGATTTGCAAATGACTTCACTTATGATGATCTTAAAACAAAGAGCCAAGCATCTTCACTCTTTTCGCCTTCAGCTGATCAACAGGAGTATATGAAGAACATCTAGGGTCCCACCAACATCTGCAATCATGCATAGACACACGTATACATATCCTCCCTTACAAGGACAGATAAAAGAAAAATATTCAATGCTCCAATTCTATGTCCCATAAAAAAGAAATGCTGTTTAGATATGTACTTGTGGGTTTTCAGGACAAGATCACTCAAATAAAAAAGAAGCAGTACTTCGCTCACATGGTTGCAACTGCCACCTTGACTTATTTTGACAACTCCGACCACCTCTGATGTCCCTGTTGGTTTTGACAATTTGCAAAATGAAAACCAAAAAGTGGGAGGTTGATAGGAAACTATGTAAAGGAAGGTCAATTGTAAATATGCAAATAAAAGTGCTTAAAGGATCTAGAGTCTTCCTGGTTGCTTGGCTGCCATTCTCCTGCTATGTTTCAAAGCTCCTGTGAGGTTTTATAGGTTAAATAATAGCATCCTGGCAATGTTGCAACCAACTGATTTTCTCAATGCCTATCACAACTGGATTAGAAAAGGAGGTAAATTCTAAACCTTGAATGCAGGAACAGATGGGTTCCAAGAATGGGATGATGAATTTTTATGGTGAGGGAGATGAGCAAAAGGAGGGAGATAAATATTCCTAGGGCTGGATGAAGTGGCACTGCAACCTGGGAGTTCTCCTGGACTCAAGACTCCTGTTTGAAAAGCAGGTCTAGCAGTCATGGCTAGAAGGGCTTTTGCAATGGCTCCCTTACTGTGGTAGAACATTTTCCTCTCTTATTTTGTGTGCTTTTAAAATAGTTTTCATAATTTTAATAATTATTGTTTTATGTGTGTTGGTTTTCTTTTTAATTGAGGGTTGCACACTGCCTAGAAACATTTGTGAGATCCATGGTTACATAAACATGATAAATAAATAAAATTCTTAAAATTGCTATAGACAAATGAACCTTCATAAGATCTTCAAACCTGCAATGATTTAAATGAGGTTTAAGCCATTTGAACTTTAGCCAATTTGGAATGGAAAAAGAAAGGTCTTACCCAGTGGTGAAATCTAAAATTTGTTACTATCGGTTCTGTGGGCGTGGCTTGAGGGGGTAATGTGACTGGGTGGGCGTGGCCAATTTTTTTTTAACTTTTAAAACCATTTTTTCTACAACCTCTTCGGCGAAGAGGTTGTAAAAAAATGCTTTCAAAAGGCTCTGACAATCCCAGCTGAGTTGCCTGATCAGTAGAGGCTTTTTTTCTTTTAAATGCCTCTGACGATCAGGCAACTCAACTTGGATCATCAGAGGCTTTTAAAAGAAAAAAAGCCTCTGCCAACCAGGCAACTCAGCTTGGATTGGCAGAGGCATTAAAAAGAAAAAAAAAACTTTTTTTCTTTTAAATGCCTCTGACGATCCAAGCTGAGTTGCCTGATCAGCAGAGGCTTTTTTTCTTTTAAAAGCCTTTGATGATCCCAGATGAGCCACACAATCATCAGAGGGTTTTTTTTTACTTTTAAAAGCATTTTTTCGGCTGAAGAGATTGTAGAAAAAATGCTTTTAAAAGTAAAAAAAAAAAAGCCTCTGATGATTGTGTGGCTCAGCTGGGCATGGGGGGGGCAGAGATTTTTGCTTCTCCGAACCACCCGCTTCCATCGCTACCAGACCGGGCGATCCAGTCCAAACCGGAAGCATTTCACCCCTGGTCTTACCTACTTGTATTTTGCTATATTTTTTTTTAAAAAAGTATAAAGTTTCATAGAACTGGAAAGCAATTCCAGTAAAACTGATTAGAAAAAGAATGTATTTTTCAATTATGCATCCAATTTGATAGAGAATATACTTCCAAATTTATTTCACAGGAGAAATTATGGAGGGTAAGTAGTCCAAACTGACTTTGGCATAGCTTTGTTCTCTATAGCACTTCAATTCAGAATGAATTCCAATCACTTTCTGGATTCTGACTATTGGAGAATATCAGTATTAGAATATGTCACGAGTGTTTTCAGAATTGCTGTAGCTACTTGATCAGTCACAAACAGTATGGACCCAATCAAGCCATCTCCTGTTTGCAATTAACTGCAAGCCTTCCCCGCCCTAGTTAATTGCAGGTTAACTCCCCATATAAGCACGGACTTTTCTGCTTGCTATTCGGGCCTAGACGCTGTTTAGGCCTAGATGCAGAGCCAGTGCTGAAGCACCTGGATGCAGAGCCCAGAGCAGAGCTGCAGAAGAGAGGAGAACTCAGCTAAGGAGTCCTGACGGCTGCAGCAGAGATAGCAGCAGAAAAGGAGCCAAAGAGCTGTGTAAAGATACTCTCACAGAGCTAGCTGCAACTGTGAGTTGAGATAGCTGGGAGCCTTTTGAAGTCTCCAATTTCGGCTTGCCTTTTGCTGAGTTGAAGCACGCAAGCCAACATCTGAACTGTTGCTGCTGTTGGAGCTACGATCGGAGGGAGAGATGGACAGTTTCCCTCCCAGGAGCTTCAAGCCACGTTTGCTGATTGAATTGTTTTTCACAGGTGACTTTTAGCTGTGAAGCTTACGCTGCTGCCCTTCTACCACCTCGATGATGTATCGACACCGAAGCTGTTTAATGTCATGTTAGTTTTTTCTTATGGACTGTTTCGGTATTGTGGAGAGGAATTTAGGGAGATGGCCTGGCTTCATTTAACCAAAATAAGACTTTGTTGTTAATGTGCTTTTTTAAAGATATAGTGTTTTTTAAACATTTTCAAGTAAAGTATATTTTTATACAAGACTCCTCTGCTAGTTTTATTTCAGTCCTAGTGTGTTTGCTTGTGAGCTGGTTCACGGTTCGGGGAAAACCCTCAACCCCATCCTGACAGAATATATGCATGTGTGCACAATGAAAGGGGCGGAAAGTGCCTTAGTACAAGAAATAATCCTACATTAATTATTAAATTAATGTCTTAGTGGTCATTTGGACACTTTCTACAAAACATAGATCATGTGTTTTTATAATGAATAAACATAAATTATGTATAGCTAAATTAATTAGTAAAAGCTTTTCTTAAAAATATTAGAGTTGGTTTTGTGCAACAGCACAGAAGAACTATTGAAATAAAATTTGATTCTAAAAAGCAGAAATTAATAGTTATTTACAAAAGGCAAGATGGGTGATAGTATCAATGGTTTACAATGGTGTAACAATATTAAAATATATATATTATGTATTATCTTATATTTATGTATTCTACCACTTTGCAACACTTTGTCTTTTTGCTTGGAATACACCTCACTAAATTCACTGGAAATGCAGTTTTGACTTAAAGTAATTATACATTCAAGGACTTGAAATGCTCCTTGAGGTTGTAGAAAGAATTATCCCCCCCACCCCAAATATCATGACTCTAGGAAAGGAAAAGAAAAGAACCACCCATAAAGGCTAAGAAATAACCCACCTCCCAGCCAAGCAGAATAGCCTCAGGCAACCCAATAAGAGCATTCTGCAAATGGATACATTGTATCTATTGACAGAAAGCACACCCACAAGAATGTAACAAGAAATAGCTTCTGTGCTTCAGACTGAGACAGGCCAAATTGAAAGGATTAAACTAGATAAACACAAAAACCCACTAGATTTACATTCCCCACCCTTCCCCAAGGCTAGACTTGACCTCATCCACCATCCAGAAAACCAAATAGGGACAATCAAAATACCAAAAGACATATTATTAAACTAATCCCCACCAACCATTTCAATCACAAAGGTCCAGTAGGGAATAAAAATCATTCTACTTACTCTTCCAATCAGCCAGCTGACCCAGAACTCAGCACTGTTGTCACTGCAGTTTCTGATTTCTGAAATAAAACCTCCTTTCCCATCAGTTCACTTTCACACTTTCTCATTTCATTCATCAGCGCCCATCTCATCGTCCCGGCTGGAAGGAATGAACTGAAGAAATTTTTCCTTCCAATAATTTGGCGACCACGAAGGGACTCCCAGCTAACCTAAACAATAGATGGGGCCTACATAAGTCACCACCCTACTGGCAACAGACCCTTTTCTCTATGAGTAAGCTTCCTGGATCCTGCCCAAGTGGTGAAGGGTAGTAAAGGGAGCTTTTTTAATATTGTGCTTGAAGGCTGCTTGGAAAGGAGGTGAGCACCACTAAATTTGAAATTATTTGGAAACCCCAGAGAAGTGAAAGGATGTGAGCATGTGTGTGTGAGTGAAAAGGGGTCTCCCTGTCAGGTGTAGGTGGATCCTGCACTGTCCGCATCATTGCTAGCCACGCCCATACCCATTGCTAATCCCACAGGGCTGTGACCGATGGGCTCTGGAAAGCAAGAGGGGTTGGCCAGAGTGTAGGACTTTCTGCAAGGAGCAGGGGCTAAGCAACTGAATGGGAAAGGAGAAAGTATGGAATGCTTGCCAGGGTTCCTGTTGGAAGTCACTGAGCAAAGCTCTACCTTAGAAAAGAGGTGCCCATACTACTAAGGGGAGCAGAGGTCTCCCCAGACTCTCCTGGGTCTGAAAACCACAAGGCAGGTTGTGAAAGGACATGCCCATACTGTCAGGGTTCCAAGGAACACCCCCGATGAAATACAACTCCGAGGCCTGAGGTTCCGCAAAGTTCCAATTTACTGCAAAGGAAGCAGAGATCCTCCCAGATCCCTTTTTGGTCTGAAAGCTGATAGCCAGGTTGTTCCCTAGGAAGGAGGTGCCCTTACTCTGAGAGGGAACCAGAGTCCTCCCAGACCCTATTTTTTGGGGGGGCTGACAGGTGGGGCAGGAAACCACAAGGGAGACCTGGCAGAGCCAATTGAATATCAACATAAAATTAGAGAGACATAGGAAGTTCAACTTCAGGGTAGGTGACCCCCATAAGAGTCACCTGGCCACTAAATTGATCAGATTGGAATTAAAACAACACCAAGCACTGGGATGAATATAACTGGGCCAAAGAAACCTTATTGGAGGTCCTACAAGAGATAGGACAGAAACCCCTCAATTGGTCAGAATTCCAATGAACAACACAGAAGATGAAAGAAATGCCTGATGTTTTCTGGGTTCATCTCCTAGAAGTAGGGGTGGCATATGCCCACCTAGACCTAAATTGCCCTAAGGACCAGAGGATCCTAGCCTCTGCCTTCGTGGATCAATCAGCCAACAATATCAGGGGGCATTTCCACAGGATTGTCTCAAATTGGTCCATTTTGAAGATTTCAAAGTTGCGCAGGATTGTGAACTTTGTCTTCAACCAAAGGGAGAAATTGAGAGAAGAGAAGGAGAAAAGGGAAATAGAAAGGGAGAGAGGGAGAAAGAGAGGGAGAGAGAGAGAGAAGGGCAGAGAGAAAAGAAGACTTGCAGGTATTCGCTGCCCTACACAATGATAGGAGACACTTGGGACTCCAGTCTTTTAACAGGTAGCCAAGGTGTCAG